TTTGTTGTGTTTTGAGTTAGCATAGTAGAATTGTAGAAAGCTTGGTATGCCTTTTGTGGTGCATGCCATTTAATTTGAAAGGATATCAGTTTTAATGGATCAAATTTCAGCAACACTTCAATCTTTCATTTAAAGGATACAGTAAGTGAAAAGATTTTCACACAGAAAAAGTGAACCAACCAAAATAATCCAGAAAATATATGCAACAGATTCTAATGAAGAAACATAAAAAGTAAAAGTCAGCAATGAATTGCAAAATCATAAGAAATAGAAAATTCCCAGAAGTCTACTTGGTTATAGAACTCGAAAGTTAATACAATACATTTAACTGGAGCTTTCATGTAACTCGAGTTTCAACTGAAAAAGAAAGTATGAAGTCCAGATCAACCGAGCAACAACGAACACCAAAAATATCGTCATGAAATCCTCAAGGTCAAACTTGAAGTCAGTTGCTCGAATGAATCTCATGGTAAATGCAATTCCTATAACATTTAACGCTTGAGTTGCCTCCTCGCCAGAGCAGGAGCTTTCTTTGGGATGTAAACCTTATAGCTCACCTGAAAAAAGATCCGAATCACACAATGCTAATATATATATATATATATATATATGCTTTTGTGTGTGTTTGTTATGAAATACCAATTCCAACTATCAATTTTTTTAAAAAGAAAATCGCAATCATCAATATAATCAAAGCCACATAAGAACTCTCTTACCTGTACCATTTCCCCTCCCCTCATCACAGTCATCGTTTTCTGTTCAAAAGAGCCATCCTTAGCTTCATTTTCTCTCTCTAACTTATGCTCCCCAACAGAAGAAGAAGATGGTTCTGAGTTTGAAACAGTTTTATTCAGGCCAACATCAGAATTGATGTACTTGTCAGGTGGCCCATCATTTAGCTGCTCGGCAGTCTGTACGATTATTCCATGTTCTTTATCGATATTTTCACCAACCAGGAGACTCTTAGCATCTGTTGTCTGAGAAAGATCACTTTTTTGTGAGGGCCCGCTATTCTGGTTCGTTTTTTGAAAATCAGAGCTAACTGTAGTTACATCTGGCGGCATTTTCGCATTATCCTTTTCATTCATTTCTAAATTCAAGCTTGTTTGACCTGTTTGAAGCCTCCCTTTATACTTCTTCAGATTTTCCAAGGCTCTTTGCCTCAAAATCGATTCAAGCACAGACTTATCATCAACCTCTTTCCCCTTATCGACATTATCATCGACAACATCTTTTACACCAATCATCTTACTCAAATTACCGTGAGATTGATCACCAAGCTCCATTTTAGTTCCCTCTTCATTACTGTCTGGACTTTTGAGAGAAGGGTAATCATTTTGGTCATACACAATCTCTTCTTCGTGCGGGTTCATGGCCCATCTGCTTTTCTCCACTTCTTCATCATCATCGTACCTATGATCGGCAAAAGCAATAACCGACTTCAGCCGTCTAGAATTATTAATCACTGGCGATAATGCCACATCATCATGTCCGGCACTCACACAATGTTTACTGCCTCTTTCAAGTTTTTCACGATCCTCATAAGAATTTCTACCTCTAAACCTTTTTCTTTCTTTGTCAAGAACCATTTTACTCGTTTTTGGCTCGCTATCTTCCGAGCTGCTGCTGCTAGTACTCTGGCAAGTAGAGCAGCTCTCAGAATCGGAACCTGAATAATGGCTGATATATTTTTGGGTCTTCTTCTTTGATGATCTAATTTTGGGTTTAGCAGAATCATCTCTACGCGATCTTTTCGGTTTTCTCCCACTGCGTGTGGACTTGTTCCGGGACAATTTTTTTGTGCTCTTTACTATAACCCGTGATCGTTTGGCTTTCTTACGCCTATAACCGCTTGATGAGGAATCAGAATCTGAGCTCACAGATCGATCGCTGTACGAAGATGAGGATGATGTTGAGTGGCCACTCGAAAGCTTCTTCTTTTTGCGTATTTTCTTTTTGTGTTCAGATTTTGATGTGGGTTCTGGGCTTAATGATTCTTCATTGGAGTATGAGGAATCCGAATTGTAAGCACGCTTTTGCTTCTTACTTCGGCTCTTCTTCTGTGAAAAAGATAATAGTAAAACACAACCCATTTTAGCAATTTAAAATCAGTTTACTGCAAACCCATCAGAGCAAAAGTTCAATATACTTGCCGTCACTAACCAATAGAGGGAGAGAGAGGTTTTAAAACAACTACATTGCTCCAAAGATTCACTTTTTATAACAGTACTTCTCACATACTAGCCCAGATCGCAAAAGCCATGAAATTATTCCAAAAAAAAAAAGAACACTCTGACAAGAAGATAAGAAACTACGGACACAGCATCATACATCCCTCGCAATAAAACGTAAATTTAGGAAAAACAAGATTAAAAGCAAAGCAAACACGAATCGCGAGATGAGAAAAGGGGAAGAACCTGAGAGGAAGTCTTCTCGCGTTTCCTCTTTGACGATTCCCGTTTGGAGGAAGAACCCCGACCCGCCATTAAATATGGTGATTCAAAAAATTAACAGCTATAAATCGCAGGTGGAATTCATGAGAGCGATGAGGGCAGCGGACTGCAAAACGCAGTTATCTTTCTCAATATGGTTTCTGAAATCTTCACAATGTTGGGAAACGAAGTACTGAAATTCCTAGCGATAAAAGGATGCGTTAAATTGCACTTTCAGTCCCCTAAATCTTACTAATTGCAAATTTAGCTCTACAGGTAATTTTGTTTTTGACAGTTCTTAAGATTAGTCCTAAAAGCTTGAGGAAAAACGAAAAAGCGATTTAATTGTATAATTCTGTAAAGTATTATTTTAGGGAATCTCAGCTCTGTTACTGTGTTCTTAAGATTAATCTTAAAAGCTTGAGGAAAAACGAAAAAGCGATTTATATAATTGTGTAGAGTATTTTTTTAGGATCTCGGCTCTCCTTCTTAGCTATAAATTAGGGCTCACATGATCTTTACGAATTGAATCGTAATTGAAAATTTAAGAATGGGAGAGTAGTATGAGATAAAAGGTATTTCCGATTTCCTCTTATCTACCGGAAGTCCAATTAAGCGGTACAAACTTTTTTGTTTTCATACTCAAAGGTTCTTAACCATATTTTTGGTATAAAAAAAAGAATGCGAAAAAACAAGAATTTTCCTTTTTTGAATCAAAAAGAAACTTTGGGATTGCTGCATCAAAGAAAAAAAAAAAAAGAATCCGTTTTCAACAAATAGAAAGCAACGGGACAAGACCTATGTCAGCTTTTTGTCTGAATACAAACAAAACCAATCCTTGCTACCGATGGAGCTACATGGCAGCTATTGGGCTAAAGAAGCATAATAATTTATTTTCTTTATTAAATAAACCTTAAATAAAATAAAATTAAAAAAGTCTCTAACTATTAACAAAATTATTTTTATTGAAATTCATATTCAAATTAACCAATACTAATCAAGCTAAGTGAATTCGACCTATAAATCAAATCACAAATTTTTTATTTTTTTACAACTTTTGTGAGAGCTTTGAATAGTTTGATAATCACAAGTTTCTTACAGTGTCAGTTCATATTCTCCCATTTTAGAAGTACATTTTCAGAATTCATAAACATAAAAACATTTCTTCCATTTTAGAAGTACATTTTCAGGATGTGTGACTAATCTTATTACCTAGTTGAAAAATGTAAAGTACATCCTGACTAATCTTATTTTCTGGTTTAATGATTCTTTGATGAAAAAACATTTAGTGTTATAACACTTATGACTACTCTTATTACATATTTATAATTCAGTCTTTGTTCCATTTAGGCTTTACTAAGACTGTTAACAAACCAACAGTTCGCGAACAAAAAAACTCGTTTGAGCTTGTTCGTATTGGACAAGAATTTGTTCATTTATTAATCGCCGCGTTCGAATATAAAATTAGACTCGTTACGAGCAACAGCTCATTCGCGAACGAGCGATATAGTTTTATTTATTGTTTTGTATATTTACATGATATTTTGAATAAAAAATAAAATATAAAAATATTTTTATTTTATTTTTTAATTTTTGAGTTCGAACGAATAATTTTTGAGTTAATCAATCATATTTAAAAAGTTTGTTTCCTAAATTATTCGAACACGAGCTAGCTCAAACATGATTTTTTGCTCGAAAAATAAACGAACAAACATGAACAATAATCGAAAACGAGCTCAAAATACCCAAGCTCGGTTCGTTGGATTACAACACTAGGATCTACCTCAATCTGCTGCTAACTATTACAGCATTTTAGACTACTGCCTAATATTTGAAACAAAGTAAAAGTGCATCTCTCTCAAAGTTTAGAAGATCCATAATTTAGAGCAAATACCGAGCATGATATCTAAAGCACATGATATCTAAAGTCTCAAACTAACATATACTATCCTTAACATCCAAGCACAAATACAGAGCTTCTTACATTTCATATTTACAGCAAATTGTAAAAAGTACACGAAAATCATCAAACATCTATGCATCTTCAGCATCACTGCTGCTCGCACGAGTATCGATATAAAAGTCCGAGTCGACTCCATCCAATATCCTCCCCCTATTACAGCAAAAATGCCAAATT